GAAGAAAAAAAGAAATGCTAATGTATCCTGGTCATTCGGAGGAGGCTGGTATCATGTGGGGGGGGGGGGGGGTGGAGAGGGTTACGGATCGATGTAACCAATTAGAAACGAATGAGAGAGAAAACAGCGCAAATCGATGAAGTGGGGCGGGAGGGGGTTGAGGATTCGTATCTTTTACTTTTCACGTTGCCCTTTCTTCATGCTTTTTTGGGGGTAAATTCTTCTTCTCCTTTCTTTTTCTCCTTCTCCTTCTCATCCTCCCTCTTCTTCTCATTTCTATACGTAATCTTTTCCTTCATGTTCTCCTTCTCTTTTTCATTCCTTCAATCCGTTTTCTTTTCTTCTGCCTCTACTCCTTCTTCTTGTTCTCTTTCTCCTCCTATTTTCCCCCTTTTTTCTTTTCTTGTTTGTGTTTATCTTTTTCCTGATTTTTTCTCCTTTATGTCTTTCTCTCTCGGAATCCCCCGCTCCCTTCTCTTTCTATTTCCCAATGATTTCAAGCCATTCGATGAATGGAGGAGGGGGGGGGGGCACAATTCAACCTCTATATCTTCAACACTGAATAATGAGGCTATTCTGATAATCGAGGTTTAAAGGCTTTAAAGGGATCCGGTAACTTTGTCTCAGATTCTGAAACAAAATTCTGGATTTAGCTCATGATGCAATGATAATTATAAACCTTTAGGTCAGTCAGGAGCCCCATGACTTTAACAAGCCGATCGCCTGTCTGATTATCAAGATATTTATGATTGGAATTACAAATTTTGAAAACCGTTCGCCTGACGGTTTTCATAACACTACAGTCTATTGGGGAAAACGAGTATGGTAAAACCGGTCACTCAAAGATTTTTACTTTTTTAGGGACTTCTTGATCATTTTGAAGCGCAATTTTTTTAGGGCTTCAATATTACACCATATCACAGACACTGGTAACACTTAGGGCCGTGTATCTCAGATTTAACATTGTTAAACGATCCCTTTAATGTTGCTTAATAATGATTTTTTTTTTTTTTTTTTTTAAATCTCTGATTTTTTTAAGCTGACTGAAATTGAACATTTTGAAATTGCTGTAATGATTGACCGATATAAAAGCAGCCAGTTGCAAATAAAAAAAAAAAACACTATGAAATGTGAATAAGCTATGCTTAGCCTATTTGAAATTCCAACTGATTTTTTTTTTCTTTAAAATATCTTTTGCTATCCGTTTGTAGCAGGCACTTAATACGAGCACGAAATTTATTTGTAAGCCCTATATTATAGCTAAGATAAATCTGACAAGAAAGCTTGAGTTATAATGACGGCAAAATGATCAATGCGTTCCAGATAATTCTTTCGATGACGGTCTCAAAGCGGACATTCAAGAAACATATAACTATATATCAATGGAAAGCTTATGACCTCAGGAATTTGGAAAAAAATACTTGAGATTTTATCAAATACTTACTTAAGTCGTAAAAAAGAAGAATAATGTGTCGTCATGTAGCATGTCCCCAAAACATCAACAGAAGCTTGTAAACACTACAAGGAGTCTATGGCTTTTGCTGTATAAGTTTGTTGCATGTTTTGATTGTTTTCCATGTATGTTCTTCGGAGATAAAGATAAACTAAAAAATAAAATAAAAAGGGATAGTGTTGCTTATTACATAAAACAGACGTAAGAAATTATTCAGATGAAAGAAATCAATGAAAATTAACACAGTATGTAACTAATATAAGGGAGTTTACAGATAGCACAAGTCATGGTACAAATGACCCCAAATATCCACAGATCTTTTACACATGGAGAAGTTCCACTTTGAGCATCTTAGAATAATAACTGCCAAAGTCCTAGATGTGCTTCATGAATACCTTTTGTTTGACCTCTTGAAAAGAATACTTCCACCTGCGTATCATAGAATGTACCGTTGGAGCATAAATGAATGATGTTACATAACTTTCATGAGCGCATGGGTTTTACCATTTTGGTACAAATAACCTTTATCTGCCCATGCGCAGATTGTATCTGTAAACTCCCTTATTGCGATCACTATTGCCGGAAATCATTCGTGCTCAAAATTAATCACACTTCCCAACAAAAAATCAAATCAAATCAAACATCACTTAGTTTTTGTTTCGTTTATTGGTCAGACGTGGAGGCTTCTTGAAACCAAATCACAACATTCTTTGTTGTAGATGTTACCTATTTTAGCCCCTTTTCGATGGAAATTACTCCTAACATGACGTCTTCCCCACCGGGTTCCGACTGCGCCGATCTCTGCCGTTCAATCTGGTATAGCAAGTTCGTAATTCGCGATGATATAACGTCGGTGGAATTGATATGCCCACTCACGATCAAAATATAGTCGACATGTATTTTGAATTCAGAAATTACAATAATTTGAAAACTGGTGCCGAGATTAAATTTTAAATGTCTGATTGTAGTCACTTATGTATTTTTAGGGAAAAGGTATGACACGTTTCACTTTCTATGAACCATGAGCTTTCATTTGACAGTCATGCATGCAATGTATATTTCAATCAATAATTTATCTATTTCAATCAAAAATTGCCTCAATAGGGTAAAGTGCATTCGGAAGACATCAAACGAACAGAGAAAGTTTAATAGAAAGCCCCAAAGTGCTGGCTCGAGCAATTGGCTTGCTTGCAATTTTAGTAAAAGGGTTTTGCTATTTAGGGCATACAAAAAAGAAATAAGAAAGAAAGTAAATAAAGAAAGATAACAAAAAGAATGAAAGAAGAAAGAAAGAAAGAATAAGAATAAAAAGGAAGGAAATTAAATCGGAGATTTTAGAAAAATACATAGAACACCAAGCCTACGGTATTTTCTTTTTTTTCTCACATTTCTTATACACGTTGAAACTAAAGGCCTATATTAAAAAATATATACACTTTTATTTGTACATTTTAGTTTGTAAGGATTTAATATTTGTTATTTCATCAGTTTAATTTCGGCCTTTTAATTTTACTTTTGTTTTTATTTCTATTTCATATCTTTTTATTGATTTATTAATCTATTGATTTAATATTTACTTATCTATTTTTCATTTATTCATGTATTTTTTCATTTATCCAGATCTTTGTTTTATCAATGTATACATTTTGTTAAATGCATTTAATTAACATTTATATATTTATTTGTTTACTTATTTATGTACTTATCTATTTATTTATTCATACATGTATCTATAATATTAATATGTGTTCATGCACATAAACAATTCAGTTTGTCCCTTACACAAGTTTTTATTAAAGAATCCGACGTTGGTATAAGTTGTTGTCATTGTTGTTGTGTTTATTATATCCATCGATTTTGATGATCAAAGATTGGCCAGGCTTTGATGTGAGAGGGCGTCTTGCTCTTTCTTCTGCAGCTCTACGTTTCAGTGATTATTATTCTTGCCCATGCAGTCAGTGTGAGATAAAGACTTACACCTTGACCCAAGCCTTGACCTTTGTTATTGACGTAGTGCAAGGTTATGGTGGATTAATCTTTGTACTCGTTACTCATTATTTGTTAGTTAGAACTGGTTGGAACTAATATTTTTGCAGTTTTGGTGTCAATCTATAAAGTTAATGATAAATAATGTGTATTATATTTATTAGTATGCGCATTTATTCGGCTGCCATAATTTTATTCAGACTTTGTGGCCCGAATTCACAAAGCAAGGTTTGAGCTCAGACCAAGGTTTGACCTTAAACCTCCTTTTGTTTCGCCAAACCTCCTTTTGTTATTTACAAACCTGGTTTGTAAATAACAAAGGGAGGTTTGGCGAAACAAAAGGAGGTTTGAGCTCAAACCTTGGTCTGAGCTCAAACCTTGCTTTGTGAATTCGGGCCTGTATGTCCACAAACATGCTATAATAAACATATTTTTAAATCCCCCCCCCCTTCATTTTGTCTTTATAATCTTTGTATCTTCCAGTACCTTTTATAAAGGCTTAAATGATTGAGCAGTTTTCTTCTTTAGTCCAAGTAGTTTTTTTAAGGTTAGGATTCGTCAAACTGATGAAGTCTGCCGATTCCTCTGTCTTTCATACTTAGGACATGATAACTTAAAATGTCTCTAAGAAGAAAAGAATTATTCTTAACTCTATTTTCAATATATTTTCACTCTCCAGATACATCATGCAGTGATCACTCGATTTTTGTAGAGAGTATTGAGTAGGCTTAATTGTTACCAAGACAGAATTGTTGTAAGATACTTTCATCCTTCCGACACTATCATACACGTATATTTTACATCTCGTTGTATGTTATAGAAATATCTGCCTTTCTCGGCAGTTTCCCATAATTTCTGCCACGCACTTTAAAAAAAATAATAATCATCCATTTCGCTGTTTTTATTGACAAAAATGTCTATATTGTTTTTTTAAGCCGCTTATTTTGAGCTAGAGCATCTACTCCTTATCGTCTAGCTGCTATAGTCTAGGCCACAATGTGCTGGAACCCATTCTATATATTATTTTGTATACAATGTAGGCTACACCAGGGGTGGATCCAGCCGGCGGCAAGGGAGGGCCCAGAGAGGGGGGCCCACGTGAGAAAATATTTAGCGGCGAATAAGCGGGGGGGGGGGGGGGGGGGAGGGGTAGGGAGCACTCATATTTGTTAAACTCAACACCCCCTCCCCCCCCCCCTCCTTCATTGAGCACCAAAAGAAAACAAAAAGTAACTTTTTTTTTGGGGGGGGGTGGCAAGGGAGGGGGCCCGTTTTCTTTTTTCTTCACAAAAAAAGGCAACATTTACCTGTTTTTGTCAGGGGAGCCCCCCCCCCCCCCCCCCCCCACCACCACCCTCCCGGGATCCGCCACTGCATGGGCAACACTCATGCATGATCACACACTTTACAAAACAGCAACAACAAAAGTGCGCAACCGCCAGGAAAAACGAAACAACAACAAGCTTCACCGACAACAATAAAACAACAACAACAAGAAACAAACAACACAAACACAGCGGCAGATTCCCAATGGCAATGGGAATATTTAATTAAAAATGTACACAAGTTAATGAACAACGACTCCCCTTTATAAATCAAGGTGGGTCTGGCAATAGCTATGCCAACGCAACGGAAAAACCCTGAACGGATCGATTTTAATTCGTCATCAATGAATATGTGGAAAGAAACCACCCCCTCAGATTAGCGTCGTTTAGCGATGACGCACATTATTGCTCATAAATAAAAAACTGCGCACGCCGACTACATACCCGGCATGTACATTGTATCAAGAAGTTACTATTGTGACAACTAACTGTATCTGAAAACTGTTCGAAAACGCAAAGCAACATGGCCCCAGACGGATTCGATTTGGAGAAAATCCGGAGTGAATTTACGGCAGCCCTTCACGAAGATGGAACGATAGATCTTGAACACTACCTCAGAGGGCATTCTGAGATTACAAGGTAAGATTTAGACCGTAACCTTGTTGTTCAAACTCTGACTCTGATTCTAACTGTTGGTCATGCATTGCAATGATTGCATGCCCCGACTCGCCTCGACGGCAGTAGCGATCCAGGAAGTATTCGTAGGGCGTGCACTCGTGTAGTCCCGTGTGTTGGTAATAATGTTTGGGGGACACACTTCGAGAAAAAAGTCTAAGTCTAATACTAAGAGTCTAGGACAATTATGTATTCTTTATCATTAATTATGTGGGCCTATCTAGATTTGATGTATTTGCCTGTAATTTGTATGTCATTCCCCGATTTAATAATACCAGGGAAGAATATAAAGGGAGAATTGAGAAGAAGGCAGTCGCCTAAAATAAATTTTAAAAGCTCACTCACCTGCTCACAAGATGATTATATTTGGATAAAATCAAAATGAAGGAGAATGAGAAGTTGAAACTTGAAGAAGAATGAGGAGACGGGGAAGAAGAAGAAGAAGAAGAAGAAGAAGAAGAAGAAGAAGAAGAAGAAGAAGAAGAAAAGAAGAATAAGGAGAAGTAAAACAAAGAGAAGAAGATCAAGGAGGAAAAAGGAAGGAACATCAAGGAAGGAAGGACGAGAAGAAGACTAAAGTACATGTAGGAAGGAGTCCGAAGGATGCAGAACTTCAAAAAGAAGTACATGTACAGGAAACAAGAAGAATGAGATTAAGAAGGACAAGCAAATACTTATTCTCTTTTTTCCATTTTCCTTCTGTAGATTGCTATCGCTTCTGGGCACTGTATTCGGATTCGTGGCTAATGACATGAAACATAAAAACAACATTATCCATGATCACCGCACAGACCATCCTGAGGAATTCACCACCGTCCAGACCATGATCGACTTCGAGATGCGCGAGAACCTGACAGCGCGGAAGAACGACAAGGGTCGCGATAGCGGCTCCCGGACGTTTCTCCGGCTCCACCGAGCGTTGGAATTCTTCGTCGTCCTCCTCACGCGACTCACTCCCGCTAAAGAGACGGATCCGACGTCGACTCTCTGTTCGAAAACGTACGGGGAGACTCTTGGGAAGTACCATCCGTGGTTCGTGCGGCAGATGGCGTACCTCGCGATCAAGACGCTACCGAACAAAAGACAGCTCATTCAACGATATTGTTTGCAGGATATGGACAAAGCTAAGGAGTTGGTCGTATCAGCCGAAGAAGCCATGCAAGCCATCTGGGACAGAACGCAGGATATTATGGATGAGCATAATTTACTCAATTTACCCTAACCTTATCATAGCCACATATTGAATTCATGTATTTTATCATATTATGTAGCCACTGGATTTCAATATGAAGAATTAAATATATTATGTAATTAAGGAATATTTCATGAGTTTTTGGCGGTCTTTGACATTTTTTTCAAAGGTTTTTATTTTATTACAAGTACTCTAGATTAATTAACCTTTTCACCTTTTCATCACCCGGATCTGCAAATGCCATTCAGTTTGCATTTGAGGTTCAGCGTGTGTCGGTCATTTGCAAGCGAAATGAAGGATGAAGGGGGCGTGGTGGGTCGAAACTTTAGGGGGGTGATTGAACCATATGTATGTATCCTACTGCAATTGCTTTCTGAATCATGATGGCTGGCAAATGACCAACACTAAATTCATAGTTGAACCATACAATACATGCACATTTTAAGTCTGGGGGGGGGGGGGGGGGGTTCACAAAACTTGTCATCAGTGACAAATGACAGTTTATGTTATAAGTTACTGAAATCCCTGCTTCTGATTGGTATTTGGTTATCAGCAGATTTATCACTGAATTTTGTCATTTGTCATTGGAAAAAATCTTTGTGAAATGCCCCCAGAATATTCATGCATACATGTACATGTAGCTGTGTTTCTTTAGCATTGTTATTCCAGATTTTATGAACATTTTTATATTTGATTGCACAAAGACAATTCAACGGTAGAGGCTACTTTTTTTTAGACCTACATGTATATGTACATGTATTTGTTGTTTCAGTTTATGTCCCACATGTAATTCAATCATATTTATACTGTACATTGACATCACCATTAGTTTGAAGAAAAAAAAATTCATTGTCTTTTAAATGGCACCTTTTATTAGCCACAAACAGATATTGTTTTTTTTTTCTCTTACTCGGTATCTACATTTTCTGTGATTGTAGTTCAAAACAAAGTACAGTACACAAGGTTAATAGCAAGGGAGACTGATAGCAGGTTTGTAAGACTTGTTGGTCTAGTGAGATGTCCTTGTGTAGGAAACCTATTGAGGAATTATCTAATTCATGTTACTGCTGAAGAAGACTGTTATTGTTATTGAATTGTACCAAAATACCAAAGTCCAATATATTAATTAGTTCTTTCTTCAAAATTAGTAGAACAATTACCTGTTTCAGTATGCTTTCACTAAGTGCTTCAAGCTTCTATATGAACAAATGTATGTCATAGCTGAAGCTGTGATTGGCAGTACAATGATATTGTAGAATTTTCAAAAAAATATCACAAATCAGAAGAAATGAAAAGGCAGAGAGAGGTACTATGACGCTTCAATGTTTTATTCCAAACATGAGCCGAGAATCTCTCCCTTATTTCGCAGAAATCAAGATTCTGCCTATTTTAGTGGTTTTCCCACAAATTCTTTGAAATTATGGACCAGGGAATTCTACTGTGAAGCTGGTTTAGATACATGTAAAAAATATTGAAAAACACTAATTGTTGTACATGTACCCAAATTTGTTTTATTGTAACAACAAAATTTAAAGAGAAGATGTGAAGGTCTTTAGAAGCAACTTGCATTGTATGCACAAAACATTTGAATTACCAATATATACAAATCCAAAGATGTTTTTGTTTTCACTGATTATAAGCATTTAAAAGAATTATGTGTACTTTATCAATATCTATCACTTTCTTTCATGAAACCTGATACATTGAAAATGAAATTGTGCGTTGCCTGTTAAAGGAGTAACACCGGTACTGATTTCTAAGGCAGTTCAATGGATCATTGTCACTGCTGACGGTTGAATAATGCTGCTGAATAGAGATTGAATAGAGGTTGAATAGAGGTTGTTTTTACTTTATAGTGCAATTATGTATAGAGGCTTTCAATAAATAATTGTGTTCTTGTAGCGGTGAGGTGTTATTCCTATCATGATTCTGTATAATATGTGTTTTAAAGATGGAAGCGGGTCATAGGACTGTAGTGAAAGATTGAAGGGACACGCCCACAGGTGCAGATTAGATTTTTATGAAAAGTTTGAATTATGAAGTATGAATATTTTGTCGTGAGCAGACTCTGCGAAGCATGGGTATAGCTATCCTTGCATTTGCTTGCCAGTATTTGAACATTTTGCCAATTATTTTATTACTTATTTTATTTTATTATCAGAATTTCATTGATTTTTCTTGAATTTTATTATCACATCATGTACAGGTAATATATACATGTATGTAGTTTACTTTTCTGTTCTTTTAAAAATGTATGTATAATTGTTTTTCTTCTCTTTTTTTGGTTTTGAAATAATGGTATACATGTATATAGGATATTTCATTATTTGCTCTCGTTTATTTTACATACACTTGGTATTTACTTGTAGATTGCTTATTATACTGCCTTTTTTTGTAGGAAATCTATTAAAGTTGACTCTTTTAAATGCTATTGGATAAAGGTAAGACAATTTGAAAGAGTTTGGGATTGGAGAGAGGGATCATTTAAAAACAATCTCTCCTCAGATGAAGCAAATGAAGGACTTTCAAACTTTGAATAATTAAAATTTGTGACGATTTTAAACCTGATGCTTCCCAGAGATGTAGTGTAGACTTGGTAAACAGTTTGTACTCTATTTTCAAACTGCTTTACATTTGAGTCTTGACGTACTCGAGTCCATTTGGATGACAGAATGTCCTTTGGCAAGACATTAAGCTATTTTTGCCTCCCTCCACCCAGGGGAGTTTCACAAAGATTCCAAGTCGAACTTAACTCTTAAGTTGGACTTAAATATTATGGAGAGCCATTTGTAGCCTTACAAACAAAAAAAAAATTAAAATGCAAAAATTCAAGTATTTTAGACTTTTCATAAGTTCCACATCAAGAACATGACATCTCCCAAGATAATAGAAAATATGAATGATTTCAATCAACATTTTATGCCTTTTAAAATATCTTTTACAAAATATTTTCAAGGATGATAATGGCCTTCCATAATTGTTTAGTCCAACTTAGAGATAAGTTCAAATTAGGATCTTTGTGAAACACCCCCAGAACTTTGAGTGAGTTGTCGCAACTGTCTGTAATATCATCACTATTATATAGTGAAAACTAATAATACATGTATATTGTGTGTGATAGTGCTAATTCAGAGCGTCAAGTTTTGAAACTGTGAATGTACCGTTTCTGTGAATGTTGATACTGCAAGTTAATGTTTTACTTCACCAGTTTATTGCCATGATAATTATAAAATATTTAATAAAATGATGATCATAAACCAATATCGTAAAACTAGAAATGTGAAAACTCGTAATTTTGTGAAGCTGTTAAAGACTGCAGATTTGGACAATTAGACTTTCATCAATTGCACAGTACTAGTAGCTAAGCTACGTGTTGTAGCAACACACAAAGACATGTTAATAGTAAGTGGTTTGTTAATTATCCTAATGATTTTGTTCTAACTTTTAGAACACAATTTTCAAAAATGATCATTTTTATGTTCTGGACAAGTCTTTTCACGCCCCTGTTTTCGCTAAGAAGGAGGAAGAGTTGAAGGAGAGAGAAAAGGGGGAGGGGATGGGGAGAGGAGGAGGGAGACAGAGACAAAAATAGATATAGAGAGGGAGAGTCAGGTGTATCATGGATGTAATGTTTTGATTTTATTAATTTACGGCGGGAAACTTGTTATCAACGCTTCACGCAACTGCCTTAATACTACATACCCGGTACTTCTTTCACATGGGCCTGGGTTACAGGTTGGATTACTCAATTGAAATTTTTAAATTTTGCTGGTTGAGTTTTTTTTTTTTTTTTTTTTTTTTAAATTTGTATTTATGTATTGTAATCCTTTTTAGAGGGGGGGGGGGGCTGAGTTGAGGTGTGTTTTGCCCATTAAATATTTCTTACATTTTTAAACATATATATATGTTTAACAGTACATAGATTTGTTGTATGTTTATGTGACAATATACATTGTATTTGTGAAATTGTATGAAGAAATTCCTTGTTATTGTTTGAAAGACCAATTACAGTCATACCTTGTCTTAGTGGACACCTTTATACTGCTGAACTTTGGAACAAACTACCTTTACGTGTCAAAAACTGTCTGGATTGTCGGCCAATTCAAAACTTGTCTCAAGACACATTAATTCAAAATCACTTTTGATGACTAACTTACTCCCATTGATGTATATTTCATATGTATTGTAATTTAGAGGTTTTTATGTAATTTTTAAATTTTTATTTGTTCAATATATGTATTTTTGTTGTATTTTGTTTGTTAGAGCGCTTATTAGACTTTGGTGGAAAGCACTTTATTAGCAACGTTGTTATTACCAGTATTATTATTATTATTAAATTCCTTTTGTCTACCACTAGTGGCCCCCTCTGTTTCCCTTGTATAACAGAGATGGTCTTTATAGACAGGTTTCACTGTACTGAAAATGAAATCAAGAGAAAACAAAATTGAGAATATCATGATTGTTGTGATGATCATAGATGTCCCTTGATGATTTAAAATGAAGTACACTGTACATGTAATTCTGTTTTATTGATTGAGAAATTATCAATTAGTATGATTACAGTCTACATGTAACTTTGACTTGATGACCATCTTTATACAATGGCTAATGTGTCAGTATACATGTATGTGTAATACATGTACACCTAACAGTCAGTATGTATTTCTATTAGGGTATAATGGTATTTATAGGGAGGTTTCACTGTACTGAAAATGAAATTGAGAGAAACAAAATTAAGAATATCATGATCGTTTATGATCTTGGAAGACTGGAATGTCTCATGATTAGAAAGGAAGTACATGTGATATATAATTCTTTTATATTGATAGAGAAATGATTGATTACAGTCAAACCTTGTCTAAGTGGCCACCTGTCTTAAAGGTACTATGTCCCTTTTGCAGCCAACCTCAAATTCTGTACAACTTTGCAGGAATTATAAATATGTCATGTATGTCCTATCTGTGAAATTTAAACGTTAACAGTGTCCTCATATTCAAATTATGCAAGGAACTCGTTTACTTGCTAGACTTCACTGTCAGACACTATTGAGTGACTGACTGGCTTTTTTTCTTCTTTGGTAATAACGTACATGAAAAGAGTTGTAAAGGGTACATGAGCATTTGTCTACATCAATAACCCACTTCTTGTGATGGCCAAGATTAAACTGATTGAATCTTTGCGCAGCATAAAACGTATGACCATTCGGTACAATTGTCTGAAAATCAAGACTATTACTTTTGGGCTCTATAGCCCTAAAGTCAATTTGACAACTAATAGTCATTATTTTCCCACTTGAAGACATTTTTAAGCTCCACGTTTTTTAGGGAAGTAAATAAGTATCTTTCAAATGCAGTTGGAATTTAACTTTTTCATTTTTTGGCCTGCAAATGGGACATAGTACCTTTAAGGCTAGTATGTCAGTATAATACATGCAACTAACAGTGAGTATGTATTTCT